AATTATTGAATATTATCGTTTTCCATGATCTAATTGAAAGTATTTTTTTAATGGGTAGTTTTAAGGGTTATTAAAAAAAAAAAAAAAACTCGCAACATACCTCTTTGATTCGCCTATCAGATTGTATTACATGCTATTTAAATAACTATAAGGGTTCAAATATATAGGCTGGGAATGAGGTAGACTGTAATGTTATTTATAGTTTATACTCACCCGCACTTCTATTTTCGACTAAACATAAAATGGTTACGACTCAATGTAATTTAAAATAATTTAATAAAATAACGGGTTTGTTTGGAACTTTTTTTAGTTTGTTTGGATGTAATATGAAATTTGGATAATCTGTATATGTTTTAACTGCCATACTCACTAGCATTGGTCTCTTTTTTTTTTGTATAAAACCAAAAAAAGTTTGGGATATACTTCTTTTTTTAATTTCTCTTAGAAAACTTTGGTCTACCTAAATACTGAATTTCTTCAATCCATGTACATTGCAAAATATTCTGGGTATGATTAAATGTCTGTCATTCTTTCGTAGAAGAAAATTTACTCCAAATATTTAATAGGCCATTCCTTAACCAATTAATAATTGACCCTTCAATAATGTTGGTTTTACCACAAACTATATGGAAATGTATTCGGTCTGTGGTTTTACTTTAATTATTTATTAAATACATTTCATATAGCAAAAAAGATCAAACGTTAAAAAATTTATTATTAAATTATTAACTTTTTAATTGTTCAAATAGGCAATTTGAATTATAACTACATAGTAAAAAGTTTTAAAAATATATCTTATTTTAATTTTTCTTGTGGTTTGATTGTGATAAACACCGATATAATTCCGTTAATAGACAAAAATTATTAACTCTCAAATTAAACACATTTATTTAATTTCGAATAATATAACATCAAATATAGGTTTTATTTGTAATATAATTTATATTACATGTTTGTAGCTAACTCGTTTTATATTATTTTACTCTATGCATAAATTCAATTTTATGTTAAACCTTCGTCAATAATTTACGTGAACCCATTAAGTTTTATCTCGATTTTGATTTTTAACACCTTTGTTTGGACTTCTTGTCCTAAATGACTCCTACTTACTATAAAAGTATAATAAAATCATTTCGTGTACCCTGTACTTCACAGAGTGGCGAATTATGTGAAGTACAATATAATAGATACTAAGATTTGTTGTTCTCAGCCGTACACTTGACTATAAATATGATAAAAATAATGAAAAATATTTTCCAAAAAAAACTTTGGCAAAATATGCTATAGGTTTTCCAAGCGTGGTATTTTTTTCAAATTCTTTACAGCTGTTTACGCTCTTTACAATGTATATATTCAGTTAATATAAAAAACAAGAAATAGAACAGAAACAGGGTTTCTCTATGACGTGGTTTCCTTACGCCGTTTGCTGCCACGGCTACGGCAACACAACCAACACCGGCGGTTACCATAATCAGCCCACCTCCGACCAATGAGAGTGTTCGAAACCGCTACACTTTAGCTTATACACATTATTATTTAACGCAAGTAATTATCAAGAAACAATTTTTTTAAACATCTCATCATATTTCAAAACATGTATACACAAATTCTTCATTCAAATAAAAAATAAATGTTAATTTAATTTTAAATACATTATACAGATTGAATTGGCATCATGGCTAAATCATTAATTGCATTCAAGGACTGTAAGCATTTTCATAAGTATTAGAGTGTGGATGAAAGTGTAGCCAGTATTTAATGGTCTTTTGTGATAGTTTTCTACATTTGAAGGCAAAAGCATTTAATATTTTCTATAACGCTGATAACGAAACAATGGCCGTGAAAAGATCCTATCGACAGTACATAATTACTGTTTTTATATCAAGTTAACTTTTTCTAGTCAATATAAAAACTACTATATTGTAAATTTTACTTTCGTATTACACTTAAAAGATGTAGTATACAATAATGTGTGTGTTCTTGTTTGTCGTTGTTACATATGGTAACAACAGCCACATGTTTTGGGTAGTCGGCAGCTACATTTAACGGTATAGTGATTAAACTAGTGTCAATCCATAGCCAAGTAAATAGTTTCTTGACTCTTGTATAAAATAAAACATCATAAGAGTTCAAGAAGCTACCCTGCACACAAACTGTATACTCATAAACGTGTTTCTTGCTACTCAACCACGGCGTGACCATCCAACCCAAACGATTTAATTACTACACAACGTGCAACAGCATAACATATTATTTTGTCAAAAATTGCCTTTAGCGAACTCTTGAATAATTATAAACGTCCTCTTAACACAATTATTTACAAGCTGTAAATACATTATATTCGTATTATTATTTAGTAAGACAATGACAACAAAACAAAACAAACAACAATTTTTTTCCTCCAAACCTTCTTCTGGACAAATTTCTGACTTTTGTTATCCAATATTTCAACTATTATAATATTAAGTACTATATATTTTTTCGTAAGTAGGTTGGCTTAACAAAATAATGACTTGATGACGATAAATGCTAAAATTATTTTCCATGTACTATAACATTATAAGTATTTATTTATATTTTATTCTTATTTATCATCTGCACACTATTCTATTAAATTTAATTATATAAATGCCTATATAGACGTTAATTAATTTACTAAATAATTGTTTTATCTATAAATACATTTTTTAATAATTAAATATTGAAATTAATGGAAAGATAATATTCAGATTGTTGTTTTAAATATCAATATGTTCGTATAATTTATATATATATATATATATATAAATGAAAATCATCTTGGGATTATGGGCCATATAACATCATTGACAACTTATGTCATCATCTGATCACGGCATCGACAGTATTACAGGCCAAATAACATCTGCTGTTATGAGAGTCACATATTTAACAAGACATTTTATTATAACATTTTATAGGTGGACCTATCTTTTATAGCCTATAGGAACTACATAATCTAAGGTTGATAAATTATTTAGACAAGTTGTAATTAAGAATAACATAACATTAAAGGCAGTTTGGGTAATTGGGTCATGTTACAAGAAAATTAGAAACATGAAATATAATTGAACCAACAAAGGAAATAAGCATTAAAAGATTTATATACTTTTCGTGAAAATCTCTAATTGTTTTGGTGTAAGGCTAGCAACAAGGTTGGAATTTGGACATAACTCGAATGATTTTTTGTCTAATTACATTTTATTTTAATTAATCATTTATTATTCGTTTGTATTTTAATTTAATATTAATTTTAATAATATACTTATTTTGTTCGTTGAGTACATTAATTATCGAGGACTTGCAATTTGCAGGCAATTGTTTTTAATTATTATTATATATTTATTAGTTTTAACTATCATTCTATAAACAAATATTATCAACTTTCAAATTTAACGCAATTTGATGTCGAAAAATAAAAGGCCAAACGTTTTTACTTAACCTTGTGTTATAATTTTTTTTTTAATGTTGTGTTTAACATGTATAATATTGTTTTACATCATTTTCATATAATATATTTGATATAATTTTGCCTTAAGTCTTTGTTCGCTTATAATATAAATTTGTTAAACGCTTATGTTTGACTCTCTCGTCTCAAATTGTTAGATTGCTCTACACTAGGTGTGCTCTATACTTTACAACATCACAAATTAAGTTAAGTATTCAGACCGAAATTCACTAAGATGAAGCCGATAGAATAAAATACAAGTATATACCACTAAATATTAATGATTTATGGGCACGTGTAAAAACATTTAAAAATTGTCTAATTATATATTTTGAGCTAATCAATGGTATGCAAGATAATTTGTAAATATAGTATAAAGAAAACCAGTTATAAACAGCCAATTGTCTATGCAACTTATTATTGTTATATACTCAATACTTATGTTCAATAACATTTTTTTTCTGTAAAATATGGCATGAATTCACCAAGTTTGCTATATTTTTTTAATTCTATATAACAGGTTAAAAAAATTAACACATAAATTCCTCTTACATATTCAATATGCACAAAAACATGTAGGTATCTTATAGCAATGACCCACTTTCTTTAAGTTAAAAATGATATGAAAAATATGTTAAAACAGGCTATTTAAACCATTATAATATTAAAAAAAAAAAAAATTGAAGAATGAATTTGTAATTTACTTTCAAAAAGTTGAACATAAATCATAATAAACACAATTTTGTATTATAAATTACCAATATATTATAGGGATTTAATGAGCAAAAATAATAAAGCTTTTTTAGTTTATAACCATGCAAATATTAAAGTTTATAATATAAATATGTTTAAATTAGTAAAAAAAAAAATATGTATTGTATATATTATAAGTAAATAGTCGAAAAAAGAGGTGTGTAAATATAAAATAAACATGGACACGAAAAACTTTTTTGGAGTTTTAAAAAAATTATTGAAAAAAAAACAGATGAACAAGCAATGACATTTTAAAAATGTATGTAAATTTAAATCATGCAAATTGTATTATACTACCCATTATACATAATTTATTTTTACTTAATAACAATAATATTCATTAAGTATATAGGTTAAAAGTGAGAAAAAGTGGTATGTGAATGTAAAATTAATTAGTTAATCACGGGTGGGAAAATTTGAAAACTAAAAGAAAAGGACCGGAGTTAAAATATGCAAGCTATGATAGTATTTAAACGTCTTGGAAGATATTTAATTTTAAAAAACTCAAACACAGGTCATTTGACAATGTTTTTTCTTTTATAGATATAATTTTTTAAATTTCTAGGTCTCGTGGATTGAGCGGTATTAAAGGGAAAAGAATAAAGAAAGAAACTTCAGAGATCGTTTCAAAAGTGCCTTCTAAGGATATAACACCTCCTTAATTCTTAATTATTTAAAGTAGGTCGTTTACCAAATTTTCATTCAGTTTTTTTCTATTAGGTGTAGACATATTTTTGAAAATATATATTCAATTTTTAATTTAAAGGTTGATTAAAGCAACTTTAGAGATCATTTCAAAAGTACCTTCTAAGGAGGTGTTATAATACGACCGAACCCACATTCTCTTTTATCAGCAGTAATCCTATCGAATTTCATCTCGACGTCTTTCCAAAGACAGACAGTGCAAGTACTATTGTCGTCCAACTCGATTGGCATAATTTTTTCGTTAACAAAGAAGGATACTCTATCAACATTATCATTACATGAGTAAAATGCGGCAATCATATTTGCAGCAAATGGATTTATAAATGAAGTTCTCCACTCTCTTTGTTTCATATGGCGCATATTTTTTGCTGTTAGAGCCGCATCGCCTTTAAACAACTCTAGCATGGTGATAGCTACAAACAGGTTGTCTCTGTGTCCAAAATAAAATATACCTCTTTTCCCTTCTTTTTGAGCAGCTAGTCTAAAATAGTATTGAAATACGTACAATAATTATTATTTGAGTGTTTTGTTATGTATGGAAAGTTAATAAAATTACGGCATACTTGAAACTTAAGTTAAGTCTTGTCAACAACGGACAGCCCAGTCGATGGCCGTCCGGATTACCCCAACCAAGTTTGTAATACCAACTCATATCGTTCAAATACTCAAAAACCTGATGAAGCAGTTATAATAATTAACGACTGTTTTTTTCTAGTGTAATTAACATCCGTAATATTACTTGGAGGTCCTTTTCAGAGAACGCTCTACACCATGCCGGTGTAATTTGGAGGTTCTTAGGTCGATTGGCTGTTTCGTGACGACATGACTCGTACATTGCTTTTGCTTGAGCTGTAAAACCCCCCCACCCAAAAAATAAGAATCATCTATTCTTTACCATAATTTATAATGTTATTATTATAGTCGTGGACATGGTGTTTGGGTTATTAATATTATCTTTTTTTTTAGTTTTATAGCCACTAGACTGTAGGTCGGTTATGTTGGGTTTCAGCCTACCGTTAAGTACAAAACATATAAAAGAGTCGGTTTATAGACATTTTTAATATTTGTAGTAAACACGGGGAATATTTTTACCAAGCAACAGTGTTGGTAATATTTAAATAACAGTATATTAATGTACATTTACCAAAAGTAACAGTTTCTAATCCAAGTCTTTTTGCTATATTCGCCCGGGTTCTATTCATTTCAGGTCCGTTTTGGAAGGCCGTCATTTGAGTATTTTTGTTTTTTTCTTTTTTCTCGCCTTTAGGTACTTTATTGGTTCTAATTAGGTCAATCTTAAAAATACGAAAAACACGATTATGAATATTTTTATAAATACCTATTGATACAGTACAGTTCAAATAGATTTTACATTCAATGTCACATCGTCTTTATACTCGGTTAGCTCGGTAATATTTATGTTATCAAATGCGTTGTGTAAAAAGCACCAGCCACTTTCTTTGGCGCGAGTTTCGGGTGAAGCCAATACCTATGAAATATTAAACATTTTATATGAAAAACGTTATTTTAGTATTTAAGTTCAAATGACAATACTAATTTTAATTTTACACTATGGATCTTAGAATCAAAGTCTTCTTTAAATATGTCACCAAATGCGGCTTTTACTGAAGTAGCCAATTCTATCATATCTTGTTCTCCTTGTTTGGTCAAATCTTTGTCGTGATCAACGTTCTCATTCATCCAGGTTCTTATAACATTTATATCCTCTGCGTCTAGTGTTTTAGTTTTTTTAATTGTATTTTTAAGTGACATTAACTCTACCATATCGTCATTGTCTTCACTGGAACATGTTCTCGTACCGTGTCTGCACAACATGAATATTTGCTGGATTTGGCAGTCTGATTTTTACAATTTTTAGGTTTAACTCAAATTAGTTTTTTAAATATGTATATTTATTTTTAAGTTTACTTACTTTCTGGTACACTCAAGTCTTTTCCACGAACAAAACTGTAGGCCGTTTTGGAGTCAAAAAAATAGTAAGGTTTTTTGTCGAATGCATTCTTAACTCCAAAGCAATTTACTATTGCAGTACAGAACAGTAATATCGTATACACGGACATTTCAATCGTAGAATAACTGAAGAAACAAAATTAGTATATTACTACTGGTTTTTAATTATTTCATAGTTTTTTAGTTTAGAGTAAATTTCTGTTGGTAAAATATTAAAACTATAATAATAAAAACAATTTTGAAATATAACCGTTGACAATACATTAAGTTCAGTATGTTAAAATAAGCTAATAATATTGTTAAAAGTAATTGTGGTGTTCCCATAATTAAATAATTTGTTTTAAATTCATGACGGCAAAGCAGATTGTTTAGGCTTTCGTCTAAACAATGTAACATTTTATAACGCCATAAACTTAGAAATTAGTACATTTTTTTAAATTCCAAGTCGTTAACATTTTTTTTAACCACTAAAAATAAATGAGAATACCGATTTTGGCCAATTTCTAATTTGTATGTACTAAATTAGTAACAACTAGCATTATTATTAACTAACATTATTAACATTATTAGGCAAAACAAATAAGTTCAAATAAATTGCTTGCCAAAAAATTGTTATACTATGTACAGGTTTTTGAATATATACCGTGTCAATTGTCTTACATCGATCTTACAAAATATGTGATGGTATATAGTATTAGAGGTATATATTATATTATGTTTGGTTCATACTTTTAATAATAAAAAGTATTAAAAACATTTGCAAAACGATGACTTTTTTTCTGGGTCATAAAAATACTAAGACTTCAATACACATTTTCTTTTTGTAGGCTCTATGTACAATTTCTTAAGGTTGTTGATTAAAAAAAAAACATTTATTAAAGAATAATGTGTATTCATTGTAAACCAAATTTCGTAAATCACTACCCCTTTTAAAATATTTTTAAATGATTTTTAGGGGCTTTGAATATTTTTAATTATGAATTGATAACAATTTTTATCATTTAGAAAAAAATGTAAGACAATTTTAATAGTTTGTTCGAGAACTTTCAATCGATACTAGTTATGAGTCAAAAATCGTTATTTACGCAGCACTGCAAAATAGGAAAACACATTTTTACACTATGTTAATATTAGAAGTTGGTTTTCACAATACAAACTCTGTTTAGAATGTGCGTTTTAAAATTTAATAATATTTTGTCTAAATTTTACCAAAACGTCCATGGCTTAAAATTTAAATTATCAAAACTTTCGTAGTAATTGTCTTTTATAAAACCCTTTATATTGTCTTTTATATAAACCCTTAAGATTTTTGAAATTTATTTTATCTGAAACTCAGCTGTCCCAGGACATAAGTGGTTCTTAATTAAGGATGACAGACTTTTTTATTACCTAATAGAAATGATCTTAATAATTTGAAATATATTATTTTGATATTAAAAACCTAAAAGGTGATAAGAATGTACAACAGAAATTGTTTCTGTTGGATATGCCGTTTTAAATTTCTTTACGGGGCCTCTCTACACTAGCATATTTTATTATGCATTTTAAAGGGGATATTGCGCTTTGTTTAGGGAATTTATAACTTAAATTTAACATTAAGCTAAAGTTTTTAAACATAGATAGAACGAGAAAAGATGGATCTAATTTTATATACAATTTTTTTTTTCAACTTCCAAAACTCATATCCACAGGCTCTATTTGCGCGTCTAATGACACTAACAGTAGACACTTCAACCAGGCATTCACCGAGAATACAAATAATAATGAAAGCTAATCTTCTATTTAGACCGATAAAAGGAGATCTTTCCGTATTTAGATTTAGGTATTTAACTATGTCCACCGTGTTGGTTTGCATTCAATAAATTCTTGAACGAATTTTTTAATACTTGCTTAATGTATCGATCAAAGTATATTTTTAATTTGGGTTTTTAATATTTTTGTAAAAATCATTAAAAATTGTGATTTTTCACATAAAAGTTACTAACTAACAAAAAAATAATTATAAAATTGTGCAAAGATAAATACCTTGTAAATGGTAACCACAGCAAATTTAAAAAACTGAAATGTTAAATATTATGTCATATTTTTTCAATAAATATTTTTACAACATTATTATATATATTTTCAAAGTGTAAATAAATATTTTGTACTGTATGGGCTAATACTACACATCATAATAATGAAACTATATAAAATGCTCATACAAGACCGAAAATATAATTTGAAAGTATGACCCAAACGTTAAAAAAAAGTATGTTAATTTTTTAAATTTATCTACGTTATTGGAAATAAATTAGTATTACATGTTTGGAAACTCCGCGCTAGAGTGACTCGCTTGTGAAGATCACACTGATCTTCACAATATTATCATAAATCATAAAAAGTTGTAGAGATATGCTCTCATATAAAGTGGAAAGAACAGGTGTTTTCAGTTTCTAAAGTAAACAATTGGTCAAAATAATTAAAAAATGTGTAGTCAAACTTTTTTTTATTCAAATAAAAAAAGAAGTAAATCGTATCACGTATTAAATTTCTAAGTTGCTTTATGTGCAATGTCAAGGGTACCTGAAAAATATGTTCACTACATTGTTGACACGCAACAACAACTAGAAATTATTAGGAAAGACGGTCGACATAAAACGAATCGTATCCATAAAAAAAAACCCATCCAAGTACTAGCTACGCTTGACGTTGCTATTATCTTCAGCGATCGCACGAGAATTGGTGTATTCAACGTGGTATGGTCATCGGTACGAACACTTGTGAAGTTTCTTCTACTTTTTTATAATATAAATAGGTATATCATCAGCCTGTGTAATAACTTCCCTAATTTGTCAAAAAAAAGAAAGTCATTGCCGATGAGATTTACTTTATATTATGATTACAGAAATAGTACCCACTCAAGAAACAAGACCAATATTTCGATCATAGAATTATTTTTTTGAATTAAAATTTTTAATTATCAAACAACTTCGCTTACAGTTAATTTTCAAACGGAAATTACTTTATATTATTGCAAGGGGGAGGGGATTCAGCTTGGGTTAATTATTATTATGGGGCTTATAGCTCCCGTAGATGGATATAAATTAAGAAAAAATAAAACTAAAATTACGAATCGATTTTAACATAAAATATCATAATAAATATCATTACATTACTATTTACTAATAATTTGCGTTATACATTATAGCTTATAGAGAAGTTATTTCAATTTTAAATAAATATTATTTGCATGTAACCATTCTATATTTCATTTGTTATTTGTATATGTTTCTATAAGTTTAATATATAAATATTATATATGTATATAACAATACGCAAGTTTAAACAATAACATTTTTAAATCATTTAATTGTATTATTTTTAAAACGTATACAGAAAATAAATATAAAACATGTCTTTAAGAAAAGCATAAGCCCGAACTCCGAAAACAGGTGAGGCTTAGCTTGAAGCTGATTATCATTCCAATGACCATATATTATTCAACCAATGAAATTATTAAATAAATAACAAAATTACGATATAACCTGTGCTGTTATAAAGATAAAATATAATAGTTCATTGTTTATAATATTATAAATATATAATAGTTGTTAATTTTTAGTATTGTATTTTTTTCTTCAGAGTGTGAGTTTGAAAGAAACGGAAACTGAAATTCACGTTTTGGCAGAATTTATTTTAGAGTAACTTTTCTCAAGTAAAACCGAACATTTGTAATTAGTGTGATACTTTTAGACAATATCAAATATAATAGAATTACTAAAATACATGTTACGGCGATAACGTCAACTAAAAAATATTCAATAGAATTTAGTTTTGCGGAATTACTTCTTAGATGATGCGCTCCGTTGTGTCTTAGGACGTACTCGACCCAATAAACGGCTTTATCTAAAGGTGACATGTCTCCGTCCTTGTAAATTTCACTGTATAACGCTGCATTTTGTTTGTACCTTTAATTTCAATTTCCAAATGAGCATAACATTAGATAAAATTTAAGCAAATCTCAATTTTTAATTTATTGAATTTTTAGTTGATGCAATTCAGAGCACTGTCCTACTGTCCAATAGAATACTTCTTGTTACAAGGCCTTTTTTAATGAAGGGATTATGATAGTTAAGGGATTGCTACCAATTAAAAGTGGTATTTCGACTTTCGTGAGACAACTTAAGTAAATCGACTAAAATTTACATAAGCCATATTAAATTCAAAACCGTAGGCAAGACTTTTTAAAATTTTACCTATAAGGTTTTCATACCAATTCTTAGGACAGTAGTCCTTTGCCTTTTTCTCGGCCCGTCTCTGCGGCTGCATAATAATGTGGTCTTCTTACGTTTGGTCGGTTAGTACATCAGTAATGGCGGCGTGTAACGAATTTTCGGTCATGGTCAAAAAATCTACCAGTTTCCCATATCCTTTTCGTTCTACAAGCTTTATGTTCGTGAACTGATCTGCAAAAAATGGAATTCCTACCATTGGAACGGCATTGTAAGTAGATTCCTCGACGCTGTGGAGACCACCGTGAGTGATGAACAATTTCACGTTTGGATGACCTAACATCAGACATTAAAAATTATATTCCGGGTTAAATCGTCTATTTTGTACATAAAATATGCAGACATTTCCAAAGATTACCTAAAGATTATTAGAAATGTTCAATACAAGTTCTGCATTTACCTAAGATGTCGCACTGTGGGAACCATTTATCGGTTACTACGTTGGTCGGTAGGTCGGGTGGCGGCTTATCGTCGCATGGCCAGTACCACAATATTTTTTGTTTCAGTCTACCGAATACCCGAACAAAGACTTCCAAACGGTCTCCGGGAAATTCAGACGGTTTAAGGTAAGTGCCGAGACTAAAGTAGATAACGCCGTGTTCGGACGATTCGACAAACGTCTTTAAACTCTGTCGGGGAAACACATACCGTACACAATACTGTTTAAACTGCCTATACTTTGTCTGACGATAGAACGATACCACGGATTAGATAAAACCAGATAGCGCACTCGTATTAAAACAACGTAAATGCTGAAAATGTAAACAAACCAAAACCATTCGCAACTCCGAGTAACCCCCACTGGTAGAATTCTTTATAAGAAATTATAGTTTCAGAACTGAGCGTCGTTGAATTTATACATTGTTTAGACCGATATGTTATAAAAATGATTTGATCGTACTCAGTAAAATGTTTTATAAAACAATTTCATTTCTAAAAATGGGGTCACACTGAATTGAGGAGGGTTTCGGTTATCAACGATAGTATACGACGAAGTGCACCATCTAGTTTTATCGAATACCATAAACGATAAGACCGGAACGCCAGCCGCCAGGCTTGGCCAGATATTGTGTATGCGTTTCGATATCTGCGCAGCGGGTACCGTTCTCCCGCGAGACAAGGTGTATGTTACTACTCACTTGTGGCAGCCTGCCGACGTCTGGTTTGTCGATGTGCAGACCTCCGACGTCGACTACGTTCGGCAAATACGGTCTTGGGTACGCAACGCTAAAGTGCCCGTTGACCAAAAGCACTGAGATGTTGCCGAGCATCGAGCTCACCGAAGGTCTGGATTGCCAGTTTTTGTATCTAAAATACCGATTACAAATGTCCGTCTGCACGGGCGCGTACGTCAACCGGTCCACGTAGAGCTGAACGAAACCAATGTAAGTGGTTTTCAGCCTTTCGGCAAACGACATCCGGTCGGTCGACCGCACTCTGATGTCCGCCACGTACGAGAAGGTGGACGGCAGGCCCATCCATTTGCTGACGGCCGGCATTAGAAGCGTGGGCGATACGCTGATTACTGGCGCGTTGAACTTGTGCCCCAACGTCACTGTGTATTCTTGGAAAAAAGATTCGATCACGACCAAGTCAAACGCATAGCTGTCCGACCGAATGAAGTCTTGGAACGGCTCGGAACGCACAAAGCTCATGGCGTGATTCCGGCTAAACGCCGGCGCCGAATGGGCCAGTTGAAATATGTCGCGTTCGATTAACCGATGTCGACTGGGGGGCGCTGCAAGTGAATCATTCAGATGTCATTGCGGTTTTTGAAATAATAATTTTTTTGAACGGCACTGCTCACCTTTGCCACCCTGAGTAACATCTCCGACGGGAATGTCCGTATAGTTGGCCGGGGGATTGGCCTTTGGAAACGCACTGACCACGGTCACGTTGTGACCTCGGCGTGAAAGCTCGGTGAATAAAGGCTCGAAGCCCCGGAAGTGACTTTTGCTAGGCATTGGCCAAAACACGAGTATGTTGGCCGCGTTTAGCGCCAAAGGCAAAGCGCAAAAAAATAGACAAATAGACCACATTGTGCAAACTTGGCACACAGCAAAGCTCATACGGTAATCAAACAAAAGCAAATAATGGCTAGTTGGTCGTTTTAGTTTTTTTTAATATACAAAGGTTATCGCGAGACCTTGTACAAACATTTTTTTTTTTTGTTGTTGTTATGTGTTACTAATGATAAGTTATTTAAATGGCATTATTAGGTATGACATAATGAAATCATTCCAATGAGAAAATTGTTTTTAATAGTACAGTTATTTTTACAATAGTCTCGTCAGTTGAATTTATAATGAACATAACAGTTGATAATAAATTTGAACAAAAATATACCGAAAGTTAACTAAAATAACCATAACATTTACTTGAAATTTACATAGGTAATAAAATCTAAAATTTCTTAAATATCATCTCATAGGGTGATACGAATAGGTTATAATACCAATTCAATAGGTGATGCAATTACATAACGTGTAGTATAATTCTTATATCAATTTAAAATGTCCTTTCAGTTATTGTAGTTAGGTAATATTTTCATACTTTCGACTTATACAGTATAACTAGTAGCAATTATTCATCCATTAATACAAATTTAAATAATATCTTACTATTTAGGCATGATAGTTACTGTTACCTAACATTTTTTTTTTTGTTTTACAAAATATAATTTCGCCTATATTTTTTTATTTCGGTACAGTGTACACTGTGCTAATTTCTGATTATCAATACAAAATAAAAAAGTGTAACCACATTATTAATAATAATAATGTTCCATAAGTGTAAAGAGCTTGTCAGTAGCAAAAAATATGGCTTGAGACTTTAAGAGAATATACTTATACTTTGCAGTTAATTTCGATTCCGATGATTATGTTTTGAATGAATATTGTACATCTTTTAATTTTCTTTATATAATGCGTGTACACCATATTTTTAATGCAGTAAACTTATATTTTGTAATTTGTTACGTTCTACCATAATATAATCCTTATTTTTTTTTTATTCGGTTTTAATCATTTTATCTGTTATTTCCGACGTAGGCAGGTCACTGGGTCTAGCTGACTATCAACATTCATCACCTAAACAAAAATTTGAGAAATCGTACATTTTGAAAGATATAAAAGATCACGTACTTAAATCCCTAGCGATTTATCTCCATTATTATTTCCCCCCCTTATTGTTTGACGTTATTGTTTGACACTCTAGTCAAACTGATCCCGCTCTACCTTCTTTAAATTATATACATTCTAAACATTTTGTATATACCTACTGGCTGCTATACACAGTAGCAATAGGGTGAAATATTTGAATGTAGGCCTCAGTTTATCATTTAAAGCCGTACTCAAGCAGTAGCCAATGAGCGAAAATGTATTTGTCAAGTTTGCTGTTTTTTAAAATTCTGTACATTTTAACGTTTACATAAATCGAATTTCGACATGCACGTTACTTTTACATTCACAACGAAAACATGTATGCTTTAGCAACAAGTTACGTTCTATTAATTAAAAATAACATGGAAAATATTTAGACTACAATAGTTATAATATATTTAAAAATAAAAATGAAAATTTTCTCTTGTATTTAAGAAATTCAACATAAATCACAATAAACACAATTTTATATTGTAAAATTATAACTACTCAAAGTCATATTATGCACATACATACTTCATACGGACATAGTGTAAACAAATTTTCTAAATTTGAATCATGCAAGTCATATTATAGTATTACATATATTTTATTTTGAATTAATAACAATAATATTCATTAAATTTATTGGTAAATAGAGAACAAAGTGGTAAGTGAATTAAAATAAATAAATCACGGGTAGCATTGCTGATAAACTAAAAGACAAGAATTAATTCTTAATTATTTAACGCAGGTCGTTTACCGAATTTTCTTTCAGTTTTTTTTCTATTAGATATAGGCATATTTATTAAAATGTATATTCAATTTTTAATTTAAAGGTTGATAAAAGCAACTTTAGAGATCATTTCAAAAGTACCTTCTAAGGAGGTGTTATAATACGACCGAACCCACATTCTCTTTTATCAGCAGTAATCCTATCGAATTTCTTCTCGACATTTTTCCAAAGACATACAGTGCAAGTACTATTGTCGTCCAATTCGATTGGCATAATTTTTTCGTTAACAAAGAAGGATACTCTATCAACATTATCTTTACATTTGTAGAATGCTGCAATCGTATTTGCAGCAAATGGATTTAAATGCGAAGTTTTCCACTTTCTTTCGGCCATCATTTCCATGTTGTCTGCTTTTAGAGGTACGTCGTCTCGAGCCAGTCCTAGCATGGTGATCGCCACAAATTGATTCGATCTGTGTCCAAAGTAAAATACTCCTCTTGCCCCTTCTTCGTTAGCAGCTTGTCTTAAATAATAGTGAATACTCATACAATTAGTGTTTTTATGTATGGACAAATAATACATTTACGGCATACTTGAAACTTAAGTTAAGCCTTGTCAACAACGGGCAGCCCAGTCGAATGCCTTCCGCATTACCCCAACCAAATTTGTAATACCAGTTCATATCGTTCAAATACTCAAAAACCTGATAGGGCAGTTATAACATAACTGTTATATAATATAATATGGTTGTATTGTTTTTATTGTGTACTCAATATCCTTAATATTACCTGAAGGTCCTTTTTAGCGAATACTCTACACCACGCTGGGATGGAGCGAATGCGAGAGGCTTTATCGTGACGACAAGACTCGTACATTGCTTTTGCTTGATCTGTAATCCATAATCAATAAATAAAACAATTATTGCCGTTACCAGTAGATTAGTTAAGTTACAACTTACATTCCAGCCTACCAAGTACAAATAATAGACAAATTGTCTGTGTTGAACTAAAAAGCTGAAATGTTTGTATTAAAACTGGAATATATTTTTTGTCGTCAGTAGGTATTCAATATTATATTTTTTTATTCTCAAGTTCTGAGTCGCCCCAGTAGTATTGCCCTTTATATACGTCCCCGGGGCACGTGCTATCGATAAATAATAAATAAAGGTAAGTGGTTAGCTTATATTTAGCGGATACCCAACCACAGAGTCAGGATCTATTCCAATATTTTTTATTTAAATTAATATAAAATTAGGTAAGCGATTAAAAACAAAAAAATATTATACTTAGAATAATATTACTCGAATGCAATCTAATGCAATTTATTTTATCATATTATAATTAATGAAATAACGTTGTTTAAAATGTATTAAACAAACAATTATTCGAATAAAATATTATTTTTTTATTTCGATCAATTGTTATTCTTTATTTAATTCAATTTTGTCCAACTCTGTGTAACAAGATAATTTTTTAAAAACTAATTTAAAAATCAATCCATATCTTTTGGCACACCAATAACTACCATAATGTATATTATATATGAAACAAATTAAAAAACAATATACATCTACCAAAAGCAATAGGTGATTGTAGCCCAATTCTTTCGCCTATCCGCTCCAGGGTTGCTAGCATTTCAGGGCCTTTCTTGAACGTCGTCATTTCTGTTTTTGGAACGTTTCCTGTTTTCTTGTCTCCCTTAGATATTCTATCTGTTCTTAATTTGTCAATCTGAACCATAGAAAGAAATGATTATTACCTATTGGCACAGTATAGTTGAATTTTAAGTAGTTATAGAGTTGTATAGTTTAATTTTACATTCAATGTCACATCGTCTTCATCAAACATAGGTAAGTCATCAATACTTGTGATATGGATCTTATTTCCAAATGCATTTTTTAAAAAGTGATAGCCACTTTGCCTGGCTCGAACTTCGTGCGAAGTTAATACCTTTTTGTTATTAATAGTTTCATATAAAAAACTTTATCCTAGTATTTAAGTTTAAATGAAAAAAATAATCTATGTTTTAAATTTTACTTTATGGATATCAGGATTAAATGTTTCTTTAAATATGTCACCAAATGCTTCTTTTATGCTAGATGACAATTTTTTCATATCTTTTCTTCCTTGATCGTGTAAATCTTTGTCTGTGTCATCGTTTGCTTCATTTTTCCAGTTTCTTATAGCTCTAATGTCGGTTGCTTTTAGCTTATCGCTATTTTTTATAACATTTTTTAATGGGATTAACTGTAACATGTCTTTATTGTCTTCCTTGGAAGCATTTCTCGTACCGTGTCTGCACAACATGAATATTTGCTGGATCTGACAGTCTGATTTGTACATTTTTGGGTTCAATTCAAATTAGTTTTTTAAATACATATTTATTTATAAGTTTACTTACTTTCTGGTATATTCAAGTCTTTTCCACGAACAAAACTGTAGGCCGTTTTGGAGTCAAAAAACCAGTATGGGTCATTTTGGAAATCATGCTCTTCACCAAAGCAATTTACAATTGTAGCACAAAACACTAATACCCTATACACTAACATTTCATTCGTGAAAGTACTATAAAACTAAAATAAAAAATATCGTTTTAATAGTTGTATGTTTTTTTTGTTTAATTAAATCAAACTTTACTTTTATCTAGTAATTTTATAATCATGTAACTTTTTCATAAGTTAGGTCTAGTCATAAATTAAACAATGATTGAATTATATACTACAAAACGTCATACCCAGAATTTCAAATATGGTTTTTAGTAAACAGTGATAATGGCATATTATACCACTTTGCGTTATGAGAACTAAATTGATATTCAATTAAAATATTCTTAATGATTTTATTTCTGTAGCAAGCACAACTTTTATAAATTCTAAATTATTAGAACTGTTTTAATCCAAAAAAAACTAAAAAAATATTATTATCAATTTTCGACAATTTCTAACGTCCTTATACTTCCAAATAAGTCAAAATAAATAATTTGTTTAAAAAAAAAAAGAGTCTTATAAAAGTTCTAAAACAATGTAAAATGTTTTAAATACATACCGTCAGCTGTCTTGTGTCGCACTTACAAATGTGAATTTTCAAGAAATATTATATTATATTGTCTTAATCTTGATGATATATTATGTTATTTGTAAAACGATGATTGTTTTGTCTACGCTATCAAAATAAATTATTGACTTTACTATAAATCTTCTTCATATAAACTCTTGGTATAATCTATATAGTTTATTTAATTAAAATAATATTTAAAAGTGTAGGTATTTACAATATACCGAATGCTGCAAATGACAATAAATCGTTAATTGCAGTTTAAACAATTTGGTATACTATTATAAATGTAAATATGATATTTAAAAAAAGATTATATAGGTATAACTCATCTTACATTACCAAATAATTGAATTTTGAGACATGTGTCAAGGAGCATTATACAGCTTTAGTTAGGCCCGTTGTCGAGTACTGTTAGGTATTGTGGAATCTGTCGCATGGTCGAATTAAATCACATGAGCAGTTGCATAGTAGCCTATTTATTCGTTGAAATAGTTTTAAGAAAAATGGAAACACTAATAATCGGAATACTCCTTTGGATTGATCTGTAAGTAGTGATGAGGTGCGTCTTAAGTCATAATCTCTTGCTTGTAGTTGTAAGTTTGAATAATTGCCTTTTAAGTTTAAGCTTATAAATGGTCTTATCTCTTGTTCGGAATTACTACAACTAAATTCTAAGAGATCCTCATTGATCGCATTTCCCGCAAATGCAATGACACAGGCAAATTCAATTTTTTTCAGTTAGGGTCTATTTTAAAACAGAACATTTTTATCATAATAAATAACATACAAATAAATCGATTATTGTTATACTTACTTTTTGTTTATTTTTAAAATGTATTATTAAAATATTATTTTATTGTTATCGTATTTTTTTTCTTTTCATTATTTTATGATATCGGCTTCAAAGGTCAACGGCAAAAGCTATAGATATGTACTTTGTTGAACACACTGGTACCTTAACGACACTACAATATATTACTATGTCTTAAGCAAATTAATTGTTGCCGTCTAGTATGAAAAAAATTGTAAATCTTAGTGTCGTGTAATAATACTGAAAAGGTATAATTTCACAACAATGTTAGTGTTGTTTTTCGTGACTGAGCCAACTAAAAAGCCAACTAAGCCAACTTCAAAGTCATTTGGATAATATATTATATAATAGCGATTTTTTACGATTACAAGAACTAACGTTACGAGCAACAGAACGGTTCAGACCGAACGGGAGAAGAGAAAACATTTCAAAACAGATATACAAATATTTAAAGAGATATTTAGTCGACGACTAAATGAAACCTACACGAGTACATCCTTTACAAAATTAATCATCGTCCCGTTTATAATTTTTCCCATTTTTATTATATTAACATTTCCGCTAATCATAATAACGGTGTATTAATATGATCATCATCGAAGAACAAAGCTGTATACAGCTACGGTTCTACGTCCGCGTCGAAGCTAAAACACAATGTTTTATTAGAATTGCACTTGTTATGTGTGCGCTTAATCGTCGATATATTGCAAATAACACAGCGGAAAGTCCTCAACAAAATGTCCATAAAAACGGACTTAATATAATGTAATTTTTGTTTAGCAGACATAATAATATCATTGATTTTATTTATTATCTAACTGAATAATAGTACAAATATAATGTGTTGATATACCATAAAAATATTGAAATATGGGTTGTAAATAAATGTCATAAGAGGACTTTACACTTATTTAGAGGTTCGGAAGAGACGATTTTTTATAGATTCTTAGTTCAAGGGTTGATGGATCTTACCATGGTTGATTGGTTCACGTGTATGTAAGACACAATTTATCTGCACGGTAACCTCAAGATCTTTTATGGTGTTTTTTTTTTACAAGAAACTATTTGTCTATGACGACAATGATTTAGTACACTATATCATTAAATGTAACTGCTAACTACCTAAAACATACAGTAATAGATACCTGTTCAAGGTAGCATTATAATATGTGATATATTTGTGTGTTACCGCTAATGTACAATGTACATAAATGAATTATTTTATAAAATAACTAAATTGGCTAATGTATGTATGGAAATCATTATACATTAACTACAATATGCAGTTATATGATAATCCACACAAATATACAAACAATACATTTTATTTTAGATAGTTATGATACACAGCAATGAGTTGAGTTAGCTTCGTGTGATTATATATATATATATATGTACAATGTAATTAGTATATAACTAAATATACAATTAGTTAAATGTATATAGTACATATGTTCAGTATAACTACTTGCAATGAAATCATATATATATATATATATATACAAATCGATATTCGTATACTTATAGAATAGGTATATTTTAAATTTACAACAAGCTCGTATTATATACGTATGTTTGAATGTTTGAGCATTCAACATTTGGTCTTATGATTTTCAGGTGATTTTTATGACCGGATATATACATAACAATACAAATATAATGAGGTCAAGCTTGTCCAATATTGTTCCAACATTGCGAAAATACATGTTCTTATCAACCAGCTCTTATAATCGTTTAACGACAATTTAATCGTGTAACGACGAAAACAGATTTAACAGCATATACATCCAATGTACATTACTGAATCCTATTTTGCAATGTACTTATATGCATTCGGTTTTAACCATTAACTAGTTAATAATTAAACCCATTAAATAGGTAACTACATTGACTATGTTTTGTAGTTCAATCATAGAGGACGTACATTTTCTCAAAACATAAATGTAGGCGCTTTTTTTGTTTGTTATCTTTATTGACCAACGAATTGCTTACATAACGATTTTTTGACGTATAACCACCGAGTACGAAGTGTCTTGAGCAAATAACACGGTTGATTTATATCAATATAGTATTCTTAAAGCCGCAAGTTTTTTTTTTTTAAGCGGCTTATACGACATTGCTAAGTATATATTTACTTTAAAGAAGACGTATTTCTAATAAACAGTCTGAATTACATTGAAAACCTAAACAAATAACGTGCTGAATGATCGTTGTTAAGCATAATATACATCTACTTACAACGATAACGTTACTTTTTGAAATGTGTTCACCTACTTTTTCAAACACATTTCGAGTATCCTACTCAATTCGACGTGGAGCTGAAAAGCATTGCTTATAATTTATAAAAGACCCGAGATATATTTTTTTACTACTGGGCGATTTCTTTATGTAGCTATTCTGTAGATAGAAATCCAAAACAAAATGTATTTAACAAGACAAAAGTTAAAATAGTTTTTTCATGAAAGACACCATAAAAATGTACATATTTTTCAACGTAATATAAACGGTATGCCATAAATAAATAATGATGTACTTGGTCTGTTTTGGACTTTTGTTGGGCCTTTAGCTGGGTTTGGAGCAAATTCATTAGCGGTTTGTGAAATCTACATTACTCATTACAATGAATAAAAATACAATTATTTTTAAAACCAAATACAGCCTATCTCAAGGGTGCGATATCTTAGCGGCGACTATACAATGTTATATACATATTGTACGAGGGCGAGTTCTTGTCGTACAATTGGTTTTGGATGATTTATTTAAAGGGGATTGTAGGTATGCGGTCTGTTTTTAAGGAGTTTTGTATAGGCAATATTTAAAAAAAAAATAGAGGTATTAATAGATTTCGACCATGTCAATTCATTTACCGGATAACTTGTAGGCATAAGCTACAAGGTATTATTTTTAATTTAAATTATTGTTTCTATGAGTAAAATCCATTTTGCTATATTTTGGACCAAAAAGCCAGACAAAATGTTCACTACATAGGATGGGCCAATTTCAATTCCGGAAAGAGATCTACGGTCTTTGGCTAGTTTACTATGTTTTATGTGGGATGCCGATTTTCATTTAAAAGTGTCAGTTTCTTGTAATTTAATAAATTAAATTTGCAATTTTTTTACATAAAATTAGCAAAAAATTAAAAATCTGTTTCCTAGATAACCTAGGAAAGTTACCAAAAAACTCGCATATCTTTACAGGATTGAAATCGGACCATTTTAAATAGTCGAAATTTTGTCTGTTTTTTTGGTCTAAAACGCCAAAAAAAAAAAAACAAACCGCATACAATACCCTTAAAATACTGAACGTTCAGAATTGGGAAGAAAATCACACATCATACTGCATTGTCGACGAATAGATCAATAATTAGTATGCCTTGTATACGCTTATTGAGCGATGTATAAAAAATATAATTGATTAACAATTAACAATAAATAATAAAAATTATTAATATATTATACTTTTTTGTTTACGTTTGTTTTAAATATACATTTAAATAATTTAACAATTAAATACGCTAATACGGATGTAAAAGTAACGAAAACCAATAATATATCTAGTAGGAAATACTGAGCTGTGTTCAAGTCTACACTTTCACTTCTCAAATGTGGAGCTCCTTGATGTCTTATAACGTATTCAATCCAGTAAACCGCTAGGTCCATTGGAGTCATTGGCTGATCTTTATATACTTGGTTTCGGAAATTAGAATTTTCTTGGTACCTGCAACAAACGTAGAAAGCAAGTGAACTAATATATTAACAAAAATCTCAAATTTCTAAGTTGAGATTAAGTCTTTAGTAAAGACGTGGCGTGAGTTATATTCAGTAGCCGATTAAACATACATTTAAAAAAATATAAAGTCATTATTTAGTCAAAACATTTAACAATTGCTAAGCCGTAAAAAAAATATATGATTTCACATTATTTTCGATATACAAATTTGAAATTTAGTATAATATAGTTGATTTTTTAACATTTTTAATTGTTGAACTAAGTTATGAAAATATACCGGTCCGGAATTTTTGGCAAATTATTTTATTACATACAATATAAATGTAGATACCATTATATTTAAACAGATTAAGAGGATGTAGGTAATGCCAAAATTAAGTTTTCTACGAAACGGTTTTATTACTATTACCAAATCTTTAAAGTTTAGCATAAAGTCAGCATAGTTCAAGCCAAGTATAGTAGATAGATAGCATTGTGTAGTGCACCTCCTATGAAGGTTGTTGTACAATTAAAAATGGTAACAACCCTTTAAATAGAATCTTTGGATTACAAAAAGTAAGTATGAGACAGAATCGACCAGTCGGTAAAAGCTTAAAAAAATAGTTAGCTAGATGCTTTGGAGATTCCTAAAAAATAATTTCCATACGAATTGAGCTGGATAAGACTATGCTTGCTTTGTACTGTTTTTGGTTTATACTGAACTAGTTTAGACTGTACTAGTTTTTTATCAATTTGGTTTTTACTGGGATCGTTTTTTATTTTGCTAAGTTTTACATGATGCCTGGTTTATACCGTGATAGATATTTAGTATGGTATTTTTTTCTAACTACTTTTTTACTTTAGTTTTTTACATGGATGGGTTTTTCGGTATTACTTTTAATGTGGTTTATATCGTGCTAATTAAAATATTGTTGGTTTTAAATTTATACACTATTTTCGAGTACTTACATCGGATTTTCAAGTACTTCATTAATTGTGTTCAAAAGAGACTCTTCGTCCATAGTATGGAAATCGACCATTTTACCTGCACCGTTTTTTTCTACTAACAACATGTTCATGTGTTGATCGCCGAAAAATGGTATACCGATAATTGGTTTTGAATTATACGTAGCTTCTTCGAGGCTATGCAGTCCACCGTGAGTGATAAATATTTTAACGTTTGGATGCCCTGAAAAAAAAGTCAAACTAAAAAAAAAAAAAAATCGTCAGTGGGTGACGCACTGTTGATGATGATTTGCCTACCCAAAATATCTGATTGTGGGAACCAATCGCTAACCATTACGTGGTCTGGTAACTTTGGAAGGTGTTCGGAATTCCATTTCCACATGACCTTTTGTTTCAATTTTTTTATTACCTCTATAAACACTCGTATCTTCTCTTCCGGGAGTTTCGAGGGATCCACTATTGTACCGAAGCTGAAGTATATTACTCCATGTTGGGAAGACTCGACAAATTCTAAAAATTCCTATTAGAACACACTCAATTTTAGTCGGTTCGCGATACTGTTGTTATTTTAAGTAAAATCATTTTCAAAGAGATAACTCACGCCGGTTAATTTGTTTGGTTTTTTCACGTGCAAACCTCCTATTTCGACCGTTGATGGCATGTACGGTCTCGTAGTACCAATGCTGTGGTGTGTGTTGAGTAGAGTCAACGAAACGTTTTTCAGCATGCTCTCCAAGGGCGGTCGGTTTTCCCATCCCTTGTACTTGAAATTTTCGTTCATTATTTTCGTTTGCCGTGGCAAGTAGAAATAACGGCCCAGGTACAGTTGAAACACACCCAGCACGGTGTTCTTGAACCTTTCAAAAAACGATGCCTGTTCTGTGGCGCCACTCCTGGGATCCATTATGTAGGAAAACGTCGACGGTTCGCCGATCCACTTGCTGTTGGACGGCCACAACATAGAAACACCCAAGTTGATAACCGGGGCGTTGTACTTGTGGCCCAAAGCCACGCTGTATTCCTGGCAAAATGCAAATACCAGAACTAAATTGAAGTGCCGGTCGTCGGACAGTATGAAGTCTTGTACAACGGCATTTGGCAGCGTTTCCCGGGCGATTGTAGTTCCCAAATACCACATCGTCGGCACTGCTGTTAGGAAGTTCATTTTGGCCAATTCCATAGGGTCCAACTCTAAACACACAATAATGCCGCAATAATTGTTTACTGTCGATTTCGAGCAATACTATAAACCCAGAGGTGGGTAGTCGACACGACATAAAATATGTGGCTACACGTGTAAATCATAACGCACCTATACATTTACTTTGATACCTTCCGTTGTCATTTCGTCGACACGTTTTATCCTATCTCCGACTTTAACACAACATTACTATAATATACCTCTCAGATGTTTGCCACTGATGTGGTACACTATGTCTGTGTAATTTGCAATGGTCTTTTTCGATGGGAACGCACTGACCACCGTTACGTTATGTCCTCGGACGGCAAGTTCTTCGAACAACGGTTGGAAGCCTCCAAAATGGCTTTTCGTTGGCATCGGCGCAAAAACCAGTATGTTAGCCGCTCTGGTTGATGTGAACACCACCAGTAAAGGGACCATAGAGATCCATGACAACCGTATGATATTCATAACGCTCCCAGGTTTGATTCCACTGCAAAATAGAATATTGAAAAAATAACAACATTAAAAATGTTTACTATAAAATGTATTTTCTCAGCTACACGGAAAAACATTGAATCATAGATATGTTTTTGGGCTTAGATGACGATATAACCAAATCATAGTTAATCGAATTTCGAAAATATCCCCTCCTTCTTCTCCTCTCCTTATATTTACAATATTCTATCCTCCACTCTATTTATCGCGATTATTTTTTATAAATACCCGACAATAACCTGATAATAACCCGGTAATATCCTCCAAAGAAATTGTCGAAAAATATACCTGGTAATCTGACGTCAAAAATGGTCGAAAAAATGCATTAGCAGGTACATAACTATTATAAATCATTATTATTTTCTAAAGAACAACTATTAGAATTTAATTAAAATAAGAGTTTTTACGGATAAACAATTACTAAAAAAATGTTCGTTGCACATCTCAGAAAAATAAATAGAACCCAAAATCACCGTCACTGCTAAGTAGTTGTGTATTAAAGGTTAAAAGCTATTTTAAATTAACAATAAATGCTACCTAAAACTTAACTTAGAGTTTTAATAATAAAATAAGTAACCGCAAATAATTCAATAAAATTAACTGTTTCAATTAGACTTAATTGCCTAATAATTACTTATTAAGTCATTAAAATTGGTACAACTTAAAATTGTTTGAAAACAAGACAGACCTTAGTTGATACAAAGTTGTGCACAAAGATCACAACTTTATACTTATTTTTCAAAACTTACATTTCAATCAAAATATAACTGAAATTTATAAAGTTGAACCTCGGATTTAAGAAAAGGAATATTTTATGTAATATTTTTATAAGTTAAGATAATTAATGTGGATTTTTTTTTTTAATAAACTAACTAAAAATTATGAGATTGTTGTAGTTTGATTTTATTTAGTCAAGTAGATGAATTAGTTCTAGATGAGAGCAGTGTGTTGAGTGTTGTGCGGTTTGTCCGTTTTATTGTTATTCATTTTGATACTTAGTAAAGTACACAGATATAAATAATATTAACTTAGATAGCTCAATAACTGACTTAAATTTGAGAATACGTTTAAATGTATAATATAGAATAATATGTACATATTAGTGATAAAAATCCGAAAATTCGGATTTTCACAAAAAAAAGCTATTTAAGCGACTTAAAAATTATATAAGTGTTAAATCATTTTACAATATAAAGCTTTTTTTTTGATAAATATGTAAAAATAAAACATTACAAAAAGATAAACTGCTTTTGGATTTGTTGAATTTCGAAAACCGGAATCCGAAAGCATTTTATAGACAAAGTTAGAGTTTTTTTTTATATTTTTTTATCAACAAATTTTACTTAGGTACAAATCTTTATATTGTAATAGTATTTAATATTTATAAGATTTTCAAGTGGTATATATCTGTGGTCAAGTGTAATAAATAATCATAATACCGACGTCATTTACATCGGCATAGTAATTGGTGTGCTATCGGAAAGCTTGATAAAAACGCATTCGAGGTACACGTGTTGCTCGGTCGGTGGGCAAACATGGACACATAAAAATAATTATTCTTGAACATTTTAAAAGTAGTCAAATTAAAAATTACCAAAAAGAGCTAAGACCTCTACTTTAAACTTTTGGGGGGGACTTGGTCCTAACAAGCACCCCCAGATTTCCGCCTATGGAAACCACTAGGCACTATAACGTAATAATAATAATTCAATACTTGTAATTGAGAAAAAAAGTAGGTTTTTTTTGTTAGTTTCGATTTGTTTACTTACACTATTGCTGGACATATGCGTCTGCTTGAACGAATGCTCGGCGTTTGTATTGAATTGGCAACAAAACAGCTTATCGAATGGAGACCAAGATAATATCGGCCGATTGTCCTGGTCTATACTTAAACTAGACACTAGTCCGTCGAGAACCGAAGTCGTTGTTGTTCTATCCAAAAACAGTATGTAATCGGTTCTACTCCCACCAACTGAATCGGACTGAATACTGATAGAAGTACTGATATGCCCGTCAAGTTTATTGACGTCAAGTTGGCTATGTAAACTATAATATTTTTATTCGACAATTATTTATAGTGTTAATTTTAGACTACAATTTCCGTTTTTTGAAGGTACATATTTTGATTTATAATTATTAATTTTATACTATAACTGCTGACTTATTAAATTAATTAAAAATACATTTTTAATATTAGTACAGCAAACTGTTAAACAAATTTTAAATTTATTTTTATGTTTTAATTAAGAGGCTAAATTATTATGCACGTTTTATTTCATACAAATAATATCGAACATAAGATAATAATATAATTTTTTTTGACAAAATGTTCAAAAAAAAAAAAAATAGTACAGCTAAACTAAAAATAAACTGCAAAAAATAAAAAAATACGGGTAAAAATATTGAAAAAGATTTTGCTACAAAATTAATTGATAATCGAATTAATATGACCTTTCTCACTAGAATGAAAATTGGTGTTAGATATGATGTAAAATTTTAAAAATATTACAAAATTAATTACCCCTAATATTTTGAAAAAACCGGTTTTTGATATTTTTATTAAAAAAGTTGACATAATTTATTTTAAACCACCATTTTTTAGTTCAGAATTTGTTTTTTGGTGTAAATCAATCGATTGCGATGTAGCAGTTTTTTTTACAAAAATAACCCGAGCCGGTATTTTCAAAATTATCTTGCAAAGTTACAATGCTGAAGAATAAAACCAGCAATTATGGGTGGATGGATCACCAATAATATTGATATCAATAATCGAATAAAGTAAATAACTCCAAGAAATACAGAAATATTAAGAACAAAAATACAAGAATCAAGACAATTATAAAAGCAAAAAATATAAAAAACTGTAATAAAATTACACGTCTCGCGAAACTTTTCAGTTCAAAATCATAGCTACTAATAATTAAATAATTTACATTTAAATTATACATGTGTAGTTTTCAATAAGGGGGAAATGTATACGTCTATATCACACACAGTCTAACTAGTAAATATGATTAAAAAACGTTAATATCATCAATAATATGTTATCAATAATTTTGAATAATATTAAGCCTTGGTGCAAACGATCAAATAATGCCCTCTCCGATTCACGATTGGTGGGTTATTTATTATTCGGTCATTTAGAAAAATAATAATTACAAAAAAAGAGATTAAATATGCAAAAAGTTTCCTCCCCGGCGGGGAATCGAACCCCGGTCTCCCGCGTGACAGGCGGGGATACTTACCACTATACTACCGAGGACTGTACAGACAAAGGCTAAATAATACGACTTTTGACTTAATTTTACATCCTAATTAATCATTTATACAATATTATGTAATGTTATTTTATTTTATCGCAAGGTGTATCAAAATTCATAATCGTAAGTCACTTTTATGTTTTTTATTACCTAATTATTCTATTGGTATTAATGGCTTTATGGTTATCCTATATTTTAAATATGAATGTTAATCAAATCAAATATCTTAGTACATAACATCTATAAATTATATATATTATAATTTATATATATATATAGATTTTAGGTAACTATTATAAAAATGGTACCTACTTACTGGCCGTTATGAATTCAGAGTTAAGGTTAAAAGGGGAATTTTAAATATTCTACTGAACACTGTTGTCTGTTCATATCTTTGAAATATTTTTAATTACCATGTACTATTTGCAATGCGTGAATAATTGCTTATTCAATATTTTGCTTATAAAAAAAAAATTAATTCTTAAAAAAAAATTATACTAAAATTTCTAAATTAAGTAAGACAATAATTATGGAGATAAAATGTGTATATTTTTATAGTGATATAACCAATATAATCTTTGTTCACATACAATGTATTGTGACCGCAAAGGTCAAAGTTATAAGTCTGTTTTTCATATCTCCTCGACAGATTACAACATTCACACTATCTAGGTACTATGTTTATTCAGGAGACTTTTAAATAAAAATAATAGATGTTTAGTAAAAAAATTAACATAATTTGTGCGTTCTTAGGTTAATTTGTTTATTTTAATGTAAATATCAGAGTAAATAATATAATAATATGTTAGTGCATTAGGTAATTATTTAAATTCTACAAAATATCAAGTCGTTACTTATGTCATTAGATAGCTACAAAAAAAAAACATTAACTAGCAATAAAAACGATAATTTATTAATATATTGAATATTCGATATTTTTAATATTATACAGATTATTCATTATTATTATTTTAATTTGTTTGTTTAGTAAGTAATACGCTCTGTGTATAAAGTATAGTGTGCTGTGTGGATATTATATTTTAAATTGCATAATTATATATATTGTTTTAGACATTTTGGCTACATGTATCTAATTGAACTACAATAAAATATTCTTGTCATATTGGCGTTCCAGTTCAAAACTTCAATGACTCCATATTTTATATATACCTATATACAAAAAAAAAAAAAAAATAACAATTGAGGCGCCAGAACACAAGGGGTATAAGTAAAAAAATATTAGTTAATTCCACAGCTAAACTACAAATTGTCCATTTTATTTGGTGGTATTTATATAATTGAATTATTCATCATTTGCTGCGATCTGGTAGCAAATCACCTAGTCCCCAAACGAAAACGCCATATGGATGTAAACTTTTCGAAATCAATAAATTGTCACTTATACCCCTTGTGTTTTAGGCGCCTTATTATCAAAATTTGTTCGATGTTATGTGACAACTGGCGCTTTTCAAATACATATAATAATTATTACGTAATAACATAGAGTGTTAAAAATGTTTTATTGGTAATTAATGATTTCGATGTTTTACCATCATACGATTAAAATTAACAACACGTGAAACTCACATAACAAGTTTATTTAAAATGAAAAAATCATGGTGAAAAACCGAAACTAGTCACCACTCGGCAATAAAATATAATCCATAACACTGTGTACGTAACAGTTAGGGGACGTTATTTTTTTCTAGTTGAATTTTATACTTACTTTTTAACATCCCGGACGTCTGATGATGGTAGGACGTAACCATAATGGCCGTCTGTTGACGGCCAAAGGCGGTGAATAGTATTGCACGTTCACACGGTGTTCTGGCGTATAATTATTATTGTAATTTCGAGGAAAATACCTTCGAAATAGACTTCTGGCCAAGTGGCCCCCGTAATATACTGAGGAGTATATTATCTCTGTACAAAAAAAAAAAAAAAATAGTTTAAAATTACTAAAATGAATTACGAAATTAAAATATACATTTGGGATCAAGACAATAATTTCACCAATTTTAACCGATATAAAAACTTTTCCAAGTACCCAATTAGGTTTTAGAAATAACCATTCAGATGTTCATTAAGTACACAGAACTACAGATAATATTGCCTCCACACTAAAAAAATACTTTTTTACAGGTGCCTTGATAAATAGCTTAGGCGTTCGTTATCGTTTGGCACAAAGGACTTATCTACAATAAATTCGTTTTTTTTTCTGTTCCTCTATACCTTACACTAAACTATATTCTCTCACACTGTACGTTTCAAGACGTGTGAACTAGGCCTTCGGGTCTACTCCCGGACGTTAATCCCACTCTACCCTCGCGAATCTAGCCACTTTTCCAGTTGACCCCTGTATGAGTTTTTTTGATCCAGATATTAAAACTGTCATTGTTAACCTTCGGATTTACTTAATGAATTAGTAAACTATGCTAATACTAACAAACGCTTCGTAGGAGGTACGTAAGTAATCGAACTCTGCTAAACCTGTAATGTGGTGTTGTGGTGCCAGTCAATCATAGGTCATAGTCTCAAGTTCAGAGAAGTTCCTGCCACTTTAAACAATATAATGTTGACCATTAAAATTATAAAAGAAAAAAAAATGTCCAGTGATATTCCACCTTTTAGGAAAACCCACAGGGATACAGAGTTGAAAAACAATACGAAATGTTACAGGCCTCTGCCTAGAGTTACAGGGCTATAATAGATATTATGTAGTTATCAATAATCAATATAGATATATAGCAAAATGCAAATGCTAACAAGTCTAGTGCCAACAAGACATTTATATAGTAGATATCAGGCATCAGAAGATGCTAATTTATAATCATATTGACATTTTCATGGCTTAGCTCTGGCACACAACCGAAAAAAGCGTTGTCACACGGAAGATAGGGGTAGGAGATAGAGGGTGGGAGATAGGGGGTAGGAGATAAGAGATATTTTGTACGTTCAACGTTTAAATTAGAACTAAATGATAAATTCAAAATAGTTTAAGGGCCCGAATTCTTTATGAATTGTTCTAAGCCAGATATTAAACACTACGATATTAGTCAGAAACTTGATGTTTTAATATACTATATCATTATCTATAATTCCACCACTACTCTAAATTTATTCGGTACTTCAACGATACATGAAAATGCTCTTTCGTGGTTGCAGCCTCGGCTGAAAAACTTTTATATAAATGAATCACGACTAATTAGTAATTCCGTATGAAAAACATACATTATAACATTGTGTTCGTATTATTTATGTCACACGGCACATACACACGAGTTGGGGGTAGTTCTTCCAAAAAATGATAACGCGTGAATAACTAGAATAAAACTCATATTTAATTTTCAAGTTTCTACACAAATCAATATATACATTATAAATTTATAGTCCAAAGTGAACCTATTGCCGGATAAAGACTTGTGATGAGAAAAAAAATTGTTGTACAGCCCTTTTGCATGGGATAATAGGTAGATAATAAGAATATTGCATAATATAAAATTATTGTAAACTAGATTAAACAATTCTGTTATATTAATAAAAATGATCAAACTAGGGTCATAATCGTATAAACGTCATATTTAATAAATATATAATGTAATTTAATGCAATCTTGCTTTTATGTTGGTGAGATTATCAAATCAGACTGGTTGTCTTACTGAATTAAAAAAAAAAGGAAAACTAACTTA